CCTACAACGTAAGCCCAATCACCGCGATATTTTTCTTGTGTAGCTCTAAAGCAAATACATATGGTATGTCTTACATGTTGGACTAAGAACAAATTTAAAACACGTTCCACGTTTTACCATATCAGATCACATTCCAACACTTAAAGTAACATCCATCAAACTTGTATAGAAATGGAAAATTTCGTGCCTTATCTAATACAATATACATAGAAAGATACTACGTTAAACTCAGCGCAACTCTAGCCAATTTTGTGAAAATAACAACCAAAACTACCGACTCCAGCCACCAATCAAGGGATATAATTCCAATAGCTTAGTACGATTAATTCCCTTTCGTCATCCTATATCTGGAAAAGTAGATTTTTTTGAGCTTCGAACTTTTCAAAAATTGTGACGATAATATAGTTTAATCCTCTTTTTTTAATTAATATAAAATCGACGTCATATTGGAAGTTTGAATCGAATAATTTTTAAATGTATTTTAAACTTCATTCCTTACCTTTAAAAATGATCGTTAATCAGTATTATTATTATTATTATTATTATTATTATTATTATTATTATTATTATTATTATTATTATTATTATTATTATTATTATTATTAAAAGTTCTGAAGATGTTTCAGTGTTTTTAGCCCTACTTATTGAACTGACACTTTAAGAGAATGCGGCTCACACTTTTTGCCATATGTTTCATGTCTTACCTCTATCTTTAATTTTATATACCTTTTACAGAATTTAAAGATCTTCACGTTTCATATTTTATCTTGTACTCCATGTTTACCTTATTTGGAAAGGTTTATCTTCCCAAATGTTTGTGCAATCCATTTTTTTAAACTTTACCTTTGATTGGAACCATAAAGCCATTATTTTGCTGAAGTGACGTAAAACCCTAGTGCATACATAAATTCAACAAACGACATTGCTTTGAAGATAAACTTCATTTATAACATTATAGTACCACCAACAAAAATGAAGGAAAAAAATCTTTATAGTGTCCCCTCGACATTTAATGTCATTGACTATAATAAACAACTGAAAAAGGATAAAAGTCATCTAACACCAGAGTGAGACTTGCGGATCACGATAAGTTATATTTCATATGATGAAAAAGAAAAGACTAATTTGAACTTTTAAATATTTTTTCTGTAATGGATAGAATTTCTTTATGGAAGATCAAGAATTTGCCATTTAAAAAGAAATATTCAATAGTAAAGTAATTTTACCAAATTTTAAACAGATCTACAACTTTTATGACATTGTTTCACTGTTTGGTTTGTAAAAAAAAAAAGTTACTTATTTTTATACGAGATTTCTGATGGAATGGTAAAATAGGAAGGAGGAAACTTCTTTCCAGTAAATACAGTTGTAAATGGGGTGTAAAAGCTTACCAGATTTTGATTGTATGAATGAAGTTGTCAAGTTAAAATGGATCAATAAATACATCGACACACCAAGGGCGATGCAAGTTTACACTGAACGAAGCGACGTCCCAGGCAATCGTCATCTTTGCTACCCCACCCCACCCCGGAAAAATATCGCAAACTTCGCGAAATGGCACACCCACTCTCCATGATAATAGCCACATATAAGAAAGAATGAAGTATGCTTCAGTTAAATTACAAGGCAAGGCAAGGCAATATCGCAAACTTCGCGAAATGGCGCACCCACTCTCCATGCTAGTAGCTACATATAAGAAAGAATGAAGTATGCTTCAGTTAAATTACAAGGCAAGGCAATATTGCAAACTTCGCGAAATGGCGCACCCACTCTCCATGCTAGTAGCTACATATAAGAAAGAATAGAGTATGCTTCAGTTAAATTACAAGGCAAGGCAAGGCAATATCGCAAACTTCGCGAAATGGCGCACCCACTCTCCATGCTAGTAGCTACATATAAGAAAGAATGGAGTATGCTTCAGTTAATTTAAATTTATTACAAAACCAGGAAAATTGAAGGGTTGTCTTGCTCTTATGGAAATGAAGTTAACCGTAGTTATTACACTAAACGTGTTAAACAGTGCAGAACTGAATATTGCAATTGGTGTAGTTGATGAAAAAAAAAAACACAATGCTTTTATACTGAAAGTTGCGTTATGGAAATTTATAAAATATTCTATCCAATATAAAAATATTCAAATTTGAGTGGCTTTCAGGATGAGCAGATTGGTTCAATATAAGACTTGTTGCGATTTCGAGTCCATAGAAAGAGTTCAGATTTTGTATCTGTTGCTTCTGATTGGGTGGGACATCATGCTTTATGTCTGCGGCATGATGCCCCAATGCTAGACATCACTATAAACTGCCACACTGCAGACATCGTAGCGATATGACTGAAACATTGTTAAAGCTATGTTAAAAATCATAATCATACATCACTTAATTGATGGATAAACGTAAATAGTTGATTATTTATTACGTTCTTCAATAAAAATACATTTCGTTAATACTTAGGTTTCATTATTTTCTTCCCCAAAATCTTTAATGTGGGAAAAAAGGTAACTAAGTAGAAATTTCACATTGATTTAATATAAGCACAATTCTGCCAAGTAACCATGACTCTGCCCATTGCATAAGTAATAATTGTATGCAAAACATGAAAACCTTTCAAGTAGATGCCGTTTTCTCTTTTTGGTGGTCTTTCCGCTTCAATGAATGATGAACAAGTATAAACCATGTGCTTAAAAAACAAAAAAGAAATTATTTTTCTTCTTTACTTTTTTTTATCGCCAGCAGTTTTTATTGTGTATATATTGTAAGATATTGTCTTGTCAAAGCATCAACCAATGTTTAAAATTTAAATCTGCATTTCTGCTAATTTTTCTCTCCCCGTTCATACTTTGAAATGAAACAAGTTTCTGCCCGAGAAAATGTATTTTGGTAGATGATGGAAAAAATGTTGCTAGGGAAATATACCCAACCATTGAACAATTAGTTTAACATATTGACAGAGAAAATGAACTGACAAAAATAAATGAAGAATCGCAAGGGACGAATCATATTTAAAGGAAATAGCTGATCTGGTAACCTAGAAGTGGTAAAATCAATTCTCATCTGGAATCTTCCAAACTGATCGATGCATTTATTCAGCGGCATGGTTCCATCAGAGAAGTGAAGAGATATCAAGTCAACATGTCAAAAAAAGAATTTTGGATTACGTTTTTTTTTCTACACAAAAAGCTGCATGAAAAGTAAAGCAATATCTGATGCTAGATGGAATAAAAATTCCAGCATCTGCATGAAGCAAGGATGTGCCGTATAATCTGTCATTTCCTTACCCTCAAAACCCCAGGCAAGTCTTATCTTAAAAATGTTTGACTTATTTGCCAATGATATCAATGACATAAGATCAGATCTTGTACAATGTATAGTGTAGAATACATGAGATTATTTCCCCATACAGAAACGACGTGATCTGTTTGACTTTCAACGTTATCGCGCATGTCATCATAAGGAGTTTAGTGGTTCAGGACTTGTATCAGACTGATACGACTATGGAGATTTTAACAAGAGTGGAGAACAGTCACATGACTGATCTTAGCTTATATGCCGTATGATCTGTATCCACTGAACTGTTAATAGCTAATCGGTCATTTTGCCTGTAATTCAGAGAACTGTTAATAGCTAATTGGTCATTTTGCCTGTAATCCAATGGACTGTTAATAGCTAATTGGTCATTTTGCCTGTAATCCACTGCACTGTTAAAGCTAATTGGTCATTTTGCATGTAATCCAGTGGACTAGTGATAGCGAATCTGCCAATTAGCCTGAAATAGCGCATCTACCATATGGGCTGTATTCACTGAACTGGTAATAGAACCTGCTATTTGGCATGTATCCCCTGGACTGGGGATATTTGGCCTCCATACACTTGACTGGTAATATCAATTTAATATTTGGTTAGTATTCTCTTATCTTCTCAAGCACAAAACTCAAGCTCACTTTCATTGCCGGATTTAGGACAAATGCGGCCAAGTGCTAGTTTTAGTTATGAGACCACTTACAATGAACAATCCATCGTAGTTTTATTTTTTTTTTTTTGGCCGAGAAGATGCCCTTCTCCCCTCCTGGCCAACAGGGGGCCCTGTCCTTAAGCACACCTAAGCACAATGGTAAATCCGGAACTGCTCAATCACAAAATTAGATATCTAACTTAAAGGACGTTTACACAATAGAATATTTTTCATGTTCGTTATAGACCCAAAGTAAAGAATTATTATTGAGTATCATGAATAGTTGCATGTCATAATGAAGAACATTATTATTATTATTATTATTATTATTATTATTATTATTATTATTATTATTATTATTATTATTATTATTATTATTATTATATGAGTTTTGAGTGTGTATAATGAATACATACATAAATATCATGATGAAGAACCAATGAGTAAAATGATATTGCTACAAGATTGGGAAAGTACTATCTGCGAGTGTTCTCTGGTCTCATTATCCAATTATCCAACATAATATATATATATATATATATATATATATATATATATATATATATATATATATATATATATATATATATATATATATATATATATATATATATATATGTGTGTGTGTGTGTGTGTGTGTGTGTGTGTGAGTAAGTGTGTGTGTGTGATTTGGGTATTTAAGATAGCTTTAAAAACTTTTTAGTCATATTGTTACGATGTCTGCAGTGTGTGTGTATGTGTGTGTGTGTGAGAGAGAGAGAGAGAGAGAGAGAGAGAGAGAGAGAGAGAGAGAGAGAGAGAGAGAGAGAGAGAGAGAGAGAGAGAGAGAGAGAGAGAGAGAGAGAGAGAGAGAGAGAGAGATTACAGTTTTTAATATAGCATTAACAATTTTTTTCAGTCTTTTTGCTACAATGTCTTCAGTGTGGCAGTTGATAATGATGTCTAGCACTGGTGCATCATGCCGTAGACACGTAGCACGATGTACCCAGTCACATTATCATAACACCATTATCATAACACCAGGCTGACCAGTCTAAACACTACCTGTGCGCCACAGCCGGTGATCCAACCCGTGACCTCCCGTATCGGAATCGGACACTCTTATCACTAGGCCACCGCAGCAGTCTGTTTTTAAATGATGTCGTAATGTCATACAAAGAAGAACGCAAGGACTGAGAAATCCAGATTATTTCAAAGTCATCATTCTGAAATCTGGTCAAATAAAACCAGTAGTTTTCATCATGCAGTAAATGGAATGTAACATTTTTGTGATCTCAAATGAAATTGCTGAAAATCGTCAAATAATTCAAATCTTTTGCTCACAATTGTTAGTAACAGATAGAAATTATATACTTTTTAATGAATTTAATTCGAAATTTAGCACATATGTATTATCCTTTATGTCTGACCGCAAACAAGAGTTTAACAATGGATAAAGAAAAAAGAATTGAAAAATTGTCTTAAAATAATTTAACTCCGAGTCTATTTCTGTGTTGTTTTCAGATTAGCAACACTTCATAACAATTATTAAAGACAAAGTGATTTTGTGATATTGTGTTCATTGTATATAAAGCAAAATTCTGTGGACTTACTTCCTGGCTTAGGACAAAGGGTGGAGGCCATGGATGGTGAAACTCAGTGTCATCTTAGACAAAATATTACAATATATACGAACAGCATAACATATTGGTAAAGTTATGTGTAGGGGAGATAGTGAAGGAAATGTGGCATGAGAATATTATAAGAGAATCTCAAACTAGAAATATAATTATAATGGTAAAATGATAAATCATGTAATGAGTTAAGGAATATATTTCAGTAATTTTTGCCACAAGAATTAAATACAGGTGATAAATTAATGTCTTGCAATAATTTTATAAAACTGCATTGGGAAGGTTGGATTTTTAAAAAAATTAGGACAAATTATCAATGATTTTTCAGTTGCAGTATTTAGTATTTTCATTACATGTATGTTGATCGGTGCAGCATGGGTTACACTGCGTAGAATCTCAAGGGTCACTACTGAATGTCCGGTGAATTTTTGAAGTTGGCAAATTTTGTGTTGCTTTCGTAGTGAGTGTGGTTTTTGTGGTTTGTTGTCAGTTGTGTTTAAAGAATGCTAGTTCAAAATTCATTAGGGTCAAGTTTTTTTTTTAATAAGACGGATTTATAACTAAAATTATTTTTCAGAATCATTTGTTGCCTTTTATCTAAAAGATGTATTCAGTTTTTGGTATGATTTTAGCGATGACTCCTGCCAATGTGTAAGTTCTTTATGTATCTTTTCTTATTCCAATACGAACACAGAGTGCCGCATTACGATAATGAGTAGCATATTTGTTTTGTTTGTTTTTAAAATTCTTAATGACCTATGTTCTGAAGATTTTGCGGTCTTTTTAGCTTGTGTCAATATATTTTGCAGCTAAGAAATAGGAAAAATCATCATCACCCCTAAATAGTAGGCTTCATATGCTATTACATCTAAATTTATTTTTATAATTACCCCAATTTTATAATTATCATTTCAAGGCATCACATTTTCTTCTTTTTCGTTTATTTTTATTTTGTTGATCCATTTCAAGTTTCCAGTTGGCAAGTCGTTTGCACACTGGTCACTTATACAACTTATTATTATTATTATTATTATTATTATTATTATTATTATTATTATTATTATTATTATTATTATTATTATTATTATTATTATTATTATTATTATTATTATTATTATTGTTGTTGTTGTTGTTGTTTTATTATTATTATTATTATTATTATTATTATTATTATTATTATTATTATTATTATTATTATTATTATTATTATTATTATTATTATTATTATTATTATTATTATTATTATTATTATTATTATTATTAATTAGATTCATGGAGGCCTGCACGTGTTAAATAGTCATAATGCATAGATTGGTACCGTCACTGTCATGAGTTTAGTGATATTCAAATAAGGCTACGTTTGTTTAAACTAAACAAGTTCGTGGTTAATTTTCGATCTGTAGTGGAGTTGTCAGATTTGAAATATTGCAGAGAATAGTAGTGATAAGCTAAGTTGTCAGACGAACTGCATTGTTCAGGCATGAAATATATTTTATTTGGATTTTACACTCTGTAAAGGGGCGTTGTTCCACATAAAATCTCTCGGTTTAAATGTGCTAATAGCAAATTCGAAATCCATCTACGTTGTTTTATATTCTGCAAGAGAAATAAATGTAAGAAGACTCCGAGTTGAATTTAAGAAGTAAATTCACTCGTAATATTGTGCAGAGGAAACGATTGACTGGAAATTGTCAGACACGATTCTGGAAGTAAAAGCTTGAAAACACAAGGTATTTGTAACAGTTTTATGCATTTAGTTGATACTACTATTGTAATTTGTAGATTTATTTGCTTGTATTTGCATGGATTTATTTACTTAAATTCGTAGATACATTTTCTTGAGATATATATAACTGTCGAGTTAATTTATTTGAATTCGTACAATGATATTATATATAGACATTGACGAATTGTTTGAATGTAGAGTCTTGATTATTATAGGAGTACAATGATATTATATATAGACATTGACGAATTGTTTGAATGTAGAGTCTTGATTATTATAGGAAATTATGTATGTAGAACTTTATGCCTTATTTTAGTTGAGATTACGAGAATCCGTGTGAATTCTCCGACCTTATATGAAGTCAGGTATGATAACGCTTTTTTCTGTGTGTATTTGTTATAAATACCGTAGTGTAAAGAACTTTATTCATTCATTTGCGTAATTGATATGGGACTGGAACTAATGTCTCGGTGGTGTGTTGAAATAGCCATTAGCAGAACTATTCATTTTGTGAAACTAGGTCTGCAACGGTCTGTCATAACCAATTGACTAGATAGCCGTTAGTATCTATTTGAATTCCGATATAACCATATCTGGCTAATGAGGGAGGTATTGATCTATTCGCCCAGTATAATATTACAGAAGATTTAGGTTACTTAGTTTTGTTAGTTTGAAAGATAAGATAGCTCTACGGGATGCATACCACGTGAGTGACGTAACACGTATTAAAAAAACAAAGACTACACAAAGTTGGAAGGGCAAAAGAGAAGGCCTTGCTTCTGGAAATTTTATCATCCTTTATCTATTTTATCAAGAAGCTCCATCAACCGATAAATATCTAAAAAAAAATCGTATTGTTGCATTAACAAAAATTTAGTTGCCGACTTTTTCAACACCATAAAAATTCTTATGAAACGACTTCGTATTATTAATTCTTCTTAATCCGTATCGTCTTTTATTATGATCTTCATTACAAGATGATAGACAGTCCAAATAAATCATGAATACGACAGGAGTATGTTTTGCTTATTTATCATTTAAATTGTACTTAGATGTGCGGAACATCTGTATTTTCTAGTAACGAGATCACGATCTCATACTTCTTAGTTTTCTTCGTCTTGGTTGCGTTCAAATCTTCTTTCGATATACCGATGATACGAGTTGGTGGAACTATATCTTTTATCTTTATTAGGTAATATCATTTGAGCAGCGTTAGATTGTATTAGTTCTTTTTTAATATAATTGTTCATTGATTGTAAGTGTTTGCGAAATTTATTAGTACAGTCTGGTCTTCTGTAAACTATGGGTTCATTTTCTTGTAAAATGATAGAACGTAAAACCAAAATCCTGATATGATGTAGCGTGCTTTTATCATTGTATGTGGGTCATGGCAGATTGCATCTTCAGCCCTAATTAACTCAATGTTGCTTTCAAATTCACAATGTGGAACAAAATGAAAGATTCGTTGATTTGGGACATTTTCAGATTTAACAACAAAATTATAATCTATTGTCTATTATTATTTATTAACTGTTTAGTTTGGCTGAGCAATCGTTTGTGTTCTTGTCATTTTTTAAATTCCGCATAGAAAACATTCGTACTTCCTACAATGTTATGTTTTATTTTTTAATTTTCATTTTCTGTTAATTTTTTGCTTTAGTTTTTACTTGGGATTAAACCAATTTTAACAAATACCAAGTACTTTCTTTCAAATTTATGATAATTAGTTTGGACTGGTTCGTTTTTATCAAACATCATTAGCCTTTTTACGTGACTCTCTCTCTCTCTCTCTCTCTCTCTCTCTCTCTCTCTCTCTCTCTCTCTCTCTCTCTCTCTCTCTCTCTCTCTCTCTCTCTCTCTCTCTCTCTCTCTCTCTCTCTCTCTCTCTCTCTCTCTCTCTCTCTCTCTCTCTCTCTCTCTCTCTCTCTCTCTCTCTCTCTCTCTCTCTCTCTCTCTCTCTCTCTCTCTCTCTCTCTCTCTCTCTCTGTTATTATAATAATATATTATAATTGGCCTTAAAAGTTTTTCACTGTTTCATAGACATTAATAGCAACATTAAATTAATTTTTCAAAAATTTTCATATTTTGATATTTTCTAAACACTTCTTAAGATAGTTGTATTTACCAAGTGTACACGTGTGTGGCCTATATGGATGATCCCTAGGTAAATTTAATTGTTTTATTGTCAATATTTTGTAAAGTTAGAAAGGCTTCTTATTTTTATCCAGTTTGGTTAAGTTTTTTTAGTCTATCAATTTTTTTTTGTATATCAAGCAAATTTCGTGCCAATTGCTAATTTGTTGAAAAAAAATTTCGGTCAAAACTATTGGCACTATTTCAGAGTCGTCCACATTTTTTCATTTATAAAATTTGTGTAAAATCTACATCCTCATGATAACATTATGATCTGCATTTTATGGCTTTTCCAAATCTAACGGCAATTTTCTTTACTTGTAATCTCAAATGTTGCTATCTCCACTGTATTGTCATTAAGATTTAATTCTGTTATATACTATTTTTTCTCCATTAACTTAATATTGTCAGAATCGTGCGGTATTTTTCCATGCTGCTTCATGCTGCACGACATTTGTGTCTAACGATCTAAATTTAAAATATAAATCTAAAAAATAGTATCGTGTGTTAGGAACTACTTTTCATTTTAAACAGACACACTTGATGCTCATGGAGGAAATGCAGGAGCATTCAATTTATTAGATTTGTCTATGGATGAACTTAACAAGCTGTTTGAGATATATGTAAGGAGAGATGATAATGTTGACGAA